CAACAAGGGTACCGCGAGGATGGCCTGAGAGTTCATTGAAATCCTGTAGTTCCCGAGTATACAGATTAATTAACACGTTTTGTGCCAAGCCAGTGCTAAAAAAACCTTGTATGGTCTATTTTATATATCAGAGATTCTTTTGATATCTTTTTATAACATTATACGCCTGTGTCTGTATAGTCTTTGCCCGTTGTATGTCATTTAACTGCCATCGTGCATCAGCTTTGCAAGTCCCAAGTTGTATGTGTGTTGTAGCCCTTCCGAAGTCCTGTTTTCGCTCTATTTTTCTTTCTTTCTTTCTATAGCGTGAGCTGTTTTGTTTTCATATTGAACGTTGTTCCTATGGAACAAAGAAAGTGCATGAAAGAAAAAAGGTGTGCTTTTCACCATGGAGCTAAGCGACTTACTCGACAGTGACACTCTTCATTACCTTTCGCAAGGGGTTGAAACAGACCAGAGTCGAGACCAGCTACTGATTGCAGCGCACAACAGTTTCTGCGAATCGACCTTGTCGACAAAACAACTTGTTGACACACAAGAGTCCGCATCTCTACCGACAACTAAAGAAGCAATGATAAACGACTCAACCCCCACCACTTTTGCACGTGCACAGACTAGGCCTGCACCTAATCTGCCGGCAGAATAAGGGGGAAAATAGGCGCCCTCGAGCAGCGAACATAATGCCGGAAAACTGGGCGAGCCTGGCCTGCTCATGCATGCACATAAGTGGAATGGGCGCCAGAATCGCGCGCTAAGCTAAGCGTGGCGGCCGGCTACAGATTACAGAGTACAGACACATGGACGATTCATTTTCCAGTGCTGCTGCCTCAGCAACCTCAACAAGCAAGAGCGAGAGTGGGGCTGGACCATCGAGGGCTGTTTCTTCTCTACTAGAAAAACTCAGGTCCCCCGCTCGATCTGTCCTTGCTCGCAAATGGGCCGTGAGAGTCAATCTCCCTCCAAAGGGCAAGCGCACCTGTCGTGGCCCTGCCACTGCATCTGAACCAAAGGGCGCGAGCCCGAGTCAACGGGTGAAGGAAAACCCGGACCAGTCTCTCACCGTTTCCAATGGTCGACTCTTCTGCAAAGCCTCCCGTGAAGAACTTAGTCTAAAGAGCAGAAGCGTGAAGAGTCACGTGCGATCAACAAAGCATCGGGAGAGACACAGTAAGTGTCAGTCTGTGGAATTACAAGAACGTGATATAGCTCTAGCAAAAAAGTGCACAATAAGGGGAACACTTTGCCTTTTGATATGCAAGTTTATAGGGTGAAGGTTATTTCTACATTTCTATGTGACGGCATACCACTCTCAAAACTGCATTTATTTCATGATATCTTGGAAGAGAATGCATATAGATTATGTTATCGGCGTCACATCTCTGACCCAACTACCTTTGTGTTGCAACAGGAACAGGGTATAATCAAGGAGAAGACAGAGGGCCAGCTGTGGCCATCATATTCGATGGTACAACTCGCCTTGGGGAAGCCCTAGCCATGTTATTTCTGAGGATTTCCAAGCCATACAACACCTTGTTCGTCTTCAACAACTGGAAAAAGTCTCACAGGAGAGGAGACAGCTAGGGAATTAGTAACTGTTCTCTCAGTTGGCTGTGGAATTAATCCTACCCTTGTTTTTTTGTGCTATGCGGGATGGTGCATCAACTAACAATGTGGCTATGCGAACTCTAAATGTGCTCTACTGCAATATATTCGATGTTACATGCTTATCACACATGCTAGATCGCGTTGGAAACCACTTTCAAGTACCGATCTTGTTTGAGTTCATAACGGGTTAGCCTATTTTCTCATAGTTCAAAGGTTAAACTCCTTTGGAAGGAGAAGACAGGCAAAGCAATGGCCTCATACAGCACAACTAGATGATGGTCAAAATGGGAGGTTATGGCACATGAGCCATTCCTTACCCAGAATGCTGATTTTTTTCCAGCTACATGAGCAAAGCTTCTTGCATTCTTTTTCTGATCCTAATAAAAACCATTCCTTTGCAAATTGAGCTTGCGGCCATCGTCGACTGGGGAGAGCCTTTTGTGAAGGCCACTTACAGGCTTGACAGTGATGGAGCCACTGGCATTTGAATGTTTTGAGGTCATTAATACTATTCGAGTATTTGTTCAATCCGGAACCACACCTAATGTGCAAGCTCTTGCTGATAGATTATCTTGTGGTGTCTCTAGTCAAAAGCAGTTAGTCCTCGACCATGTTCATAATTGCGTTACACCACTTCAATCTACAACTTTCATCTATATACTCTTAACCGTACTCTAGCTGGATTTAAGGCTGCCCGCTTCTTTTATTCTCAGAAGGTACAGGAAATGCAACCTACAGCTCTTTGCATTGACTCTTTGACAGTGTTTCCATTTTTTGCACAGAGGAAATAGACACCCTAAAATTTGAGCTGCCTCTTTACCTTTTCAAGGTTGCCAATCTCGACTCCTCTATTGATCCTTTGCAATGTGGAAGCATAATGCTCTCTGTCCCAAACTGGGCAGCTGCAGCTCTGAAGGTATTATTAACCCTCGGCGCGCATGCGCAGCGAGGGTTACGGTAGTTGGGTCTGTCTGTCTGTCTGTCCATTACTCTCAATCTCACTTCGTTCGTCTCACAAAGGATAAGACCTACTTAACGGGAAATGAAGGTCAGAAAATATGTGCGGTTTTCTCTGAAACTGCTCCGTTGCAGAGCTACAGCGCGAAAAAGCCAATATGCAAATACACAACGGACGAGATAGCTTATCACGGTCTTATCGATCCGCGCGCTCTGCGTACCTCAGAGGCACCAGAAGATGCAACACAGGGCGTGTACTAATCGCCTCTCACATGCTATCTAGTAGTGTAGTTAGCCCGCGTCAGACTCTGCGCGAGCTGGCCAGAGACCACGAGTAACAGCTAAAGCTAAACCCAGCCCATCAATTAGTGGTACGGCACATGCGTTTACTTACGCGTGCGCGTCACAATGCGCCGAGGGTTTGCACTTCAGTGCTTTTCATTAGTACAGCCATCATCAGCTGCATCTGCTTTTCACTATTGAACACCTTCACTGAAAGGCAAGATTGCGCTCTAAAGGACTATATAGAAGCTTACAATACAATTTTCGATTAATGTCTTCTGTTTTTTGTATTATGAAATTCACCTGAGTGGTGGGGAAAATAGGCAACATTGTGAGCAAAATAGGCAGTTTATAAATCAAATGCTGGAAAGAAAAACAGGGGAAAGATCGCCCTCCCCAGATGAGAACCCACCCCTCCTTTACATCTGCAGCAAGCATGCGGTTTGAAGCTCCCACCAGAGAAGATGAAATCCTGGCGAGAAGAGAAAATGTCATCCAAGCAAAAACAGCTCAAGACACTAAGTATTGCATAAATGAGAGGGGGCAGTGGAGTAATAAACGGGACAAGGCGCAGCACAGAAAAACCCCTCCTCTATCGACCATCACTCCAGCCCAGTTTCAATTCTGGCTTATACAATTTGTGCTAAAATGTAGATGGTTCAGAGTATCCTCCGCTAACACTACACCATCTCTGCAGTGGAGTCATTCAGTACCTCCATGGACACAAAACACTTGACATCTTCATACCGTATTGGCTGAGTTTCGCTCTACACTAGAGACTGAAATGACAAGGTTCCAGAGTAAGAGGATTGGCTCAAGGAAGTGACAGGCAGAGCCACTAACAGAAGAGGAAGAGAGGTTCTATAGAGCAAAGGGTTTCTGGGGTGCCCCAGAAGCTCTCCTAAACACAATTATTTTAATGAACTGGCTCTACTTTGCTGCTCTGAACTGGCTCCACCCTGCTAGAGAAGTGCGCTTCAAATATAGTCTGGAGAGTTCTTTCTGGAGTACACAGAAGATGGCTGCAAGAATCGTCCGGGGGGATTGAATGACCGTCACATTGGTCACGAAGTTGTTCGACACCACCAAACCAATTTTGTTACATTTTTCAGTCTCTACTGCCCACCAAACCAGACAAAATAATTGTTTTGCCTCAAGCTTTTGAAGAAGTCCACAGGGACACTGATTCTCCTGCGAACCACTTGGGCATAACACCCTGAACGGCACGGTGTCATCTATGTCAGGCTGCTGAGATACCAGGATTACAGAGCAACCAATCTTTGCAAGCTACCAGCACCACCAGACTCTATGCTGCAGGTGCTGATGAACAGCTCATCATGGAATGGGAATGCACTGGCACAGGAGTGTAGAGGGTGTTCGTTCCTACAAACGCACATCTGCGCATCAAGAGGAATGAGTTTCTGACATTCTAAACCTAGCCCCTTAGAGTAGTGACTGGTATAATCACTCCGCCTTCAGCCTCAAGATTCTGTGGGAGTGAAGTCACATCTACCAGTAATGTCGGCACAAGCTTCTCCGCCATGTCCACGCAAGGCCCATTATTTTCACTTGTGTAACCTCGTTGTTGAAGACATCAACAAGTAAAGAACATCACATGGCTAGACTTGTCTATGTTCCTGAAAACAAGGTCTTCTACGGATCAATAACCTTGTGTGGGCCAATCAGATACCTCGATTTAAATGTACTCAACAAAATGAGGATCAATCTCTTTTGGCAAGAAGTGAAAGGCACAAAACTGATAATAGATAATACCAAACAAAGGAGGAGCAGAAATTATACTGTCGACCCTCATCGACAAGAACAATGGGTCTCTAACAGATGAATAATACGCATGAGTAAAGTATTGACAAGTTTTGTGCCTCAAATGAAAAGTGCATTGAAAATGACTCCACTCATATACCCCAAGAAAGAGGGCGGCGTCATGTTTGGGAGTTTGCCTACAGCAGTTGCTATGCAGCAATGTTAGACAATGCACTGGATGCTGGCGAAACGAAGGTTAATTCTGGGGGGGAAGCAAAGACAGATGGGGGAATAGTGCAGTCAATGTGATCCCTTCACGGCTGCTTTTTTCGTTGACTAAGTTGGGCGTGGTTACCTGGCAAGAGCCGTCATCTATGGCTCGTTGCTAATGCAAACACCTGTGTCTGGCTTGATTTCATGCACACCAAGACGTGGCTGAGTTTTTTTCTGAGTAAGACACTTAAACCTGATCCTGCCTTCCAAACGCTTGTGAAGGTTGAGAGTAAGTGTTTTAGTTCGTTTCCGTTGGCAGTTTTGTTTGTTGGGCAATTTCAAAAAAGAAATTTGCCAGTGAATAAGACGCCGGCCCCTTCTATACGCAGACCTCAAGTTTAGATAAAAACGGGCACACACACTTACGTAATCCTGGCATAGCTTCAATTAACTGCATGAAGTCCATCTGATCCTTTAAATCTTCTTCATTCTCTCGTTCAAACTGAGCTCCAATCTGCAAGATAAAATACAGGTATTGTACACATACAATGCAAAAAATCATTCCCAAAAATGTTCACCATTCAAAAACGTTTAACCGCGTCTGCCGTTGCACAGCTCATCTATTTCTGCCGGAATGCCGCTCTACCGTTGGTCCATGATAATCCCTAATTGTTAATAATCATGTTTTCATAACACGCGCAGAACATATCTTTCGATGCCATAGGTTTTTATCTCGCCTTAGCAGGTTGTGTAAAAGCACGTTTCGCTACAAGCATACATACTGCCATTGCCCAGAAAAGTAGGAGTTGCAAACATGTGGGGAATTGCCGTATTGTCTCGACAGTGAACTGTATTTCCCTGCATTTTCTGGTACACATTTGGCATAGAAAGGTCACAAACGTCAAGTGCAAATTGATTTCGCTCCATTTATTTCGTTCCCACCTCAAACATCATTGCCCTCGGGACGCATGCGCAGTGAGGGTATGGTAGTTGGGTCTGTGTGTCTGTTACTCTTCATCTAAATTCTCGGGTGTTTGTTCATCTCACAAAGGATACGACCTACTTAACGGGCAATGAAGGTCAGAAATTTTCTCTCAACTGCTCCGTTGCAAAGCTAGAGCGCGAAAAAGCGAATATGCAAATACACAACGGACGGGATGGCATACCTTCGGATGCACCAGAAGATGCAATGCAGGGCGTGATCTCCTCTCGCATGCTATCTAGTAGTGTAGTTAGCCCGCGTCAGATTCTGCACGAGCTGGCAAGAGACCACGAGTAACAGCTAAAACTAAACCCAGCCCATCAACTAGTGGTACAGCGCATGCGTTTATTTACGCGTGTGCGTCACAATGCGCCGAGGGTTTGCACTTCAGTGTTTTTCATTCATTCATTAACACCAATCCTTCCTGTTCCTTTGAATTCATATCTGTGCAAGCTTCATTACTTGTGGAGATAATTCTTCTATGTTAGGTAAAATGAAGAAGTCACTTTATGCGTTGATCAAAGTGCGGCTTGTGCATTACACTACCCCAAGTGTTATTGAATCATCTGAGTGCAACACTTTGAAGCATGTGTCAGATATGTGTGTGACTACCTGTATGTTGTAAGTGCATCAATCTGTATCATAAGTGCATGAGTTATCTGGTAATAATCTGTATTCGCTATTGGTCGATATATCATTATGTCATGGTTCACTCGTGTATGCATAATGTATGGCTCATGTATTCGACTGAGCATGCTCAGTGTGCTGTCATATAATCTGCAACACATGCAGGATTGATCAGTTGTTGACTAAAGCCAATCCCGAGAACTAGGCTGCTCGCGTACGTCACAACTGGCGACGAGGTATTCACTCTCGATGATCGAGCCCGACCCCCCTCGCATGTTCCGGCAGCCGAAGCGTCCCCCGTGACTCCATCAGCCCGCCCTGTTCCAGCAGTCGCAGCCACCGTGCTGTCACACCTGGCGGTGTTCTCGCACACGTTGGGCATGTGGGAGAATTACGACGGAACTCAGAGAAGTTTTCGATGTAGGTCGAACGTTTTGAACTGTTGCTCGCCGTAAACGCCATACCAGATGATCACAAGTTAACACTTTTTTAAACTGTGTTGACGACGTACGGGTTGTTACATAACTTAGTTGCCCCGTAAACCCGAAGGACAAGTCCTAGGACGACACTGTGTGCCAATTTCGAATCCAAACCGCTGATAATAGCCCAAAGGTTTCACTTCCACCGCCACGACCAGCAGCCTGGCGAATCCATAGCGGCATACTTGTGCGAACTACGCTGGCGTGAGTTGTGGGCCAAGCAAGAGTGAAAGTGCAGTACCAACTGTGACCGTGGTCAGTGGCGGGGGGGCCTGCGCTCGTAGGCAGGGATTGGTAACAGTTCATTCGCCTAGACTGGGCAAAACATACTCCATGTCCGCGGAGATCCCAACGTCTTGACTTATATACCAGGCTTCTTGACAGTTTCTCCCCAGTTTTGAAAGAAGGGGCAGGAACAATGACGAAAATCCAGGCTACCCTCTCACTGAAAGAAGGTGCCATTCCTAGGTTTCGTCGACCCTATACAGTGCCGTTCGCCATCAAGGACACGGTAGAGTGAATGCTGGACCACCTACAGGCTGAAGGGATTCTTCGGAAAGTCGACTACAGTGAGTGGGCAGCCCCCATCGTCACAGCACCGAAGGAAGACGGCTCCATCCACATATGTAGAGATTACAAATTCACCGTCAATCCCACTCTGTAAATCGACCAGTACCCACTCCCAACAGTCGCTGACCTGCTGGTGTGCCTCGCGGGAGGTAAGCGTTTCTCCACCCTGGATCTCACCGCCGCCTACCAGCAGATGCGCCTGGACGAGCAATCCTCAAAGCTAGTAACAATCGATACCCATAAAGGTCTCTACCAATACACTCAGATGCCTTTCGGGATTGCTTCAGCACCAGCAGTATTTCAGCGTGCCATGGACACTGTGATACAGGGGCTACCGAGCGTAATCCGTTACCTTGACGACATCTTGGTGACAGGAGAATCTGATGAGAAGCATGTTGACAATTTGCAACAACTGCTGGAGTGCCTGCAAAATCACGGAGTGCGGCTAAAGAGAGAGAAGTGCTGCTTCTTCCAGGACTGGGTGGAGTATCTCGGGCACGTAATCAGCAGTAACGGTGTTCACACCACCCCAACCAAAGTACAGGCAGTGGTTGACCAGCCTGTGCCGGAGAACGTCTCTCAGCTCCTCTCCTTTCTTGGGCAAGTCAATTATTATGCTAAATTTGTTCCGAATCTGTCATCTCTACTAGCTCCGCTACACCGGCTGCTGAAGGCTGGGCAGACATGGCAGTGGTCCGAGGCCTGTGATAGGGCCTTCCAAGTCGCTAAGGACAAAGTCACACAAGCTCCCGTGCTAGCCCATTTCGACCCGAAGCTCCCCGTCCCTGGCGGCGGATGCGTCCCCATATGGGTTTGGGGCCGTCATTTCACACACAACGCCCGGCGGTTCAGAACGCCCCATTGCATATGCATCTCGAACGCTGACAGTGGATGAAAGAAAGTACGCACTGGTTGAGAAGGGAGCCCTATCATTGGACTCCGGCATATGCAAATTCCACCAGGAGACCATGATTACGGACACACACAAACCTCTAACTACCATACTAGGTCCGAAATGGGGTATCCCACCACTGGCAGCTTCTTTCAGCAAACAACTACAATATTGTGCATCGGCCGACAAACGCCCACGCCAATAACGATGGCCTGTCAAGGCTGCCACTCCCAAGCACACCCGCGAGAACCACCTGCACAGGTGCAACTGTTTTCAACGTGGCACAGGTAAATGCACTTCCTGTGCAGGCAGCCGAGATCATCGCAGTTACTCGGGGAGACACAAATCTCCGCAAGGTCCTCCAATATACTTGGAGGGGTTGGCCTGGCAGAGTACCACCAGCGCTGCAGCCATATCACGTGAGACGAAACGAGCTGTCCATCGAAAACGGCTGCCTCTTATGGGGTACTCCCGTGATTGTCCCCACGAAACTCCAAACAGAGATACTCGACGAGCTTCACAGGGGCCACCCTGGAATAGTCCGCATGAAAGCACTGGCCCGCAGTCATGTTTGGTGGCCATCCATCGACAAACATCCTGAACATAAGGCTAATTCCTTCACAGATTGTCAGGTCAATCGAAAGGCACCAGCAAAGGCTCCACTTCACCCCTGGACCTGGCCCACACAACCGTGGCAGAGGATCCACGTTGACTTTGCAGGGCCCATAGCAGGCAGGATACTTCTCATAGCAGTGGACGCTCATTCCAAGTGGCCAGAGGTGGAAATCATGCAGAGCATGACCTCGTCATGCACCATTAGTGACCTGTTTGCCGGATAGGGATCCCTGGGCAAGTGGTCAGTGACAGTGGGCCACAGTTCTGCTCAGAGGAGTTCCAGTCTTTCCTGCGCTCTAACGGGGTGAAGAACATTCGCACAGCTTCATACCATCCGGCTACTAATGGCGCATCCAAACGGATGGTCCTGACAGTCAAGCAAGCCTTGAGAGCTGGGCTTTATCGTGGAGCAGTCATGGAAAAGTGTCTGGCTTCCTTTCTGATCCAGTATCGGAACACTCTTCACGCCACCACCGGGGTTTCTCTCAGTCAGCTCCTAGCAGGACGCTCTCTCCAAATTCGATTCAATCTCCTGCGATCATCTGCCATCTCGTCGTACGTCCAGCAACAACAACGTCAGAAGAGCGCTCACGACCAATCGTCGCACAACCGAGCACTGTCGGCAGGTCAATGTGTCTGAGCCAGAAACTATAGGGGTGGGCCACGGTGGGTAAAGGAAAGGGTGTTGGGACCAAGGTCTTACAAGGTGAGCGGATATTTGTGGCATCGCCACATAGAGCAGCTGGGGGAAGCCGCGACATCCAGTACTCGTCTCCAGGATGAGTCCTGTACTCCTCTCCAGGACTAGGCAAAACCTCTACCAGATGGCGAAACGGTGTCCCAGCCACCAGAAACCACTCCGCTATCCTCTCAAAACACCCAGACAATACCAACCACGCAGGGGTCACTGGATACACCAGTCATGTCAGCAAAGTGTTTTTCTATTTCTGGTAACAGAACTGTTTTCCAGCTAGTCCCTTGAGTAAAAAGTCTCTGTAGAAAGGCTTGCATTGTATTCTAGGGCCAGTTGTGCGTGGGTGAGACAAACATGCCAGTTGCCTGGGTCGTGGGCTGAATAAAATCTCTAGGCAACTTTCAGGACACTAGACTGCTGATTTGTAGTAACTTTTGTTGTGTTTTTCAGTTCATGCTTTACTATGTGTCAGTACATATTTCGCGATATTGCAGGCACTGTCTCGCCTCAACATTTGGGGGCAAACGGCTAGGAATGCCAGGCCCCACTGACTGAATGCCTGCCTATTTTCACCATTTCCATTTCTGGACGTGGTGGAGACTCAAGGTGACACCTTGAGGAAGGTCCAGTAATATACGGTTGAGTAATAGCGCAAAACATCATGTGACCAGCAATCATTAACCCTTCGGCGCGCATGCGCAGCGATGGTTACAGAACTTGGTCTGTGTCACGTTTTCTGCCACTAGATGCAAAAAGAAGGCCAAAAAGCTATACCAAAAGGTGTGTTGCTACATTGACTAAACGGGCAATTTTCATAAAAATACTACGTTATTATTAGTATTACTATGTTCAAAGTTATGGCATGAAAACATGCTAATTGCTTAACTAGACTAAAAACTGCCCGCATTGTGCACTGTGAAGGCATCATAAGTTAGGACGGAGGACAAGTATCGAGTGCCGCTATGCCGAAAACACTATCTACTTACATAGCCTTGTCAGACTTTAAGCGAGCTAGCGAGAAACAATGTGTGCATTAACAGCTCTGCCCAGTCCAGACCATCAATTACCAACTCGTGTATGCGTGTCGGTGTTGCAGTGTTCATGCATGCACGTTTCGTGCGCCAAGGGTTTGTACTTCTTCAGTGCTTTTCATTACAATAGCATAATTCTCCATGAACAGAACCATAGAGAATGGATGAGAAAGAAGCACTGCACTCCACCGGTAGTAAACAGTTTTAACCATTATGTGTAGTGGCTTTCTCCACGTTCTTTGCAACCAATCACAAAGGTTATTGCTACACAATTGTTATATATATACAATACCTCCTCCCATAGACAGTGTGCTTTGGTGCTATTGTCAGGGACTTCATCACTCATGCATATAAGGAGCAGAGGAATCAGTTTATGGTGATAGGAATACCTGTAGCAGATAAAATCAGATTCAAAAAGGTGTCCAATACTAATTAAGGCGATTGCCAATAAAGAAACTTCGGTTTGGAATGGTTAAAGGTATACCACCCAACGGTCTAGGCACATGTAGAAAAAACCAGGTGATGCCAAGAGAAAAAAGTTGCGGACCATTATTCATACTTAGGTTGCATGTCTGCATGAACTGAAAATAGCTAAGTTCTACGCTTGACGGTGGTCACTATAAGCAGCTAATTTCGTGGATCCGCTGTTTAGCGTCCAACATATGCTCGCGCAACATACATAGCAAACAAAAAAATGTGGGTCTGTTAGCAAACCAACCAATCAGTACTGTGAAAAACCGGTGTGCAACAGTCATGGATTGGAAGTAGTACACTTAATGAACAATGAAATTACAGTGCAGTTATACTTCCAGAAAGGCAGGACGCATGTATGCGTGATTTTTTGTGTACCGTAAGATTAGCACACTGATTAAAAACTATTAGCTTTTAAGGCCAGAGCGATCTTGGGCTTTGCCTTGTGTCTAGAGAACAAAATGGAAACATTTTTTGTCTCCTACTCAAACGCAGGACATTCACATGTAAATCTGTAAACATGGGCCAGGCAATAGACATATGTACACTGCAGGTACGGTAGCTTACTAAATTTCCTCATACAACTTGGCAAAGCCAAAGCAGCCTCTAGCCATGCAGCTTCCCTGAAAGGCTATTTAGAAGCTTAAAAGTTCAGGCATGCAAGCAACAAACAGCAGATACATCAATGGGCACTTCAAATGGACAACACCCACTTCAGGGCTAAGGTGCTTAAGTGGATTATTGGCCAACTGTGCACATCCTCCATGCCACCGTCCGAAGGGCTACTCTACCTGTAACATTGGACAATTATATTTCTAGTCAACCTGTCAGGTTGATGCAACAGCCAGTCAGCAAGTATATCCACCAGACAGCTCCTAACAGACGGAGTGGAGTCACTGACTCTCTGGGCCAGAGGAGACAGGACATCATCTATAGCTGTAGCTGATCCCTTCCTCACCACACACCCTAGAGCCTGTGTATGAAAGTACTTTCAATGGCGTACAGAGCGTAAAATTGATCAAAGGTATTCACAGTCAACACTTATTAATAGCCAAGCAAAAAAGAAATAGCTATTGCTACATGAAATTATAGTTCATAGCATACCAGCCATATGTATATAGATAGATAGATAGATAGATAGATAGAGAAATAAATAAAAAACCACCACCACCATATTTACAAACCCCAAAATATCCACACAAAACACATACACAAATACACATGACATGACATGTAATACAGGGTTGATAAAACCATATGAGAGAAGTAATATCATCTGACATGCTAAGTCTTTACAGTTCGAAAGGTGCAACAATGCTTTTAGCAAGCAAACATTTGCAAGTCTACGCCCACCAAATGCACACAGCATTTGGATAGATAGAAAATTCAGAATCATAAGCCTTCACTTGCCACACATGTATACAATACAACATCACCTTATGTCTGTGCTGTCAATGTGTGCACAGCTACATACGTAGGAAAATTTTAATTGTGCAGAAGGAGAAATAACAGTGCACTGTGTTCACTCTTTTGGCTGTCAAACTAGATATGCAACATGCCAAGCCTACATTATTGCACAAAAAATGAAAAGCACTAAAGTGCAAACCCTCGGAAAACTGCGCATGCGCGGTACAACTAATTGATGGGCTGGGCATGCATTTACTCGTGGTCTCCCGCTAAGCTCGCGGAGAGTCTGACACGGGGTTAGCTACTGTAGTAGATAGCATGCGGGAGTCAATACACGCCATTCGTTGTGACTTCTTATGCCTCCAAGGTACGCAAACAGACCCGATCAAGGTAAGCCTGTGCTAATTTGCATATTGGCTTGTTCACTTGCTTTTCACGCCATAACTTTCGAACACAGTATTTTTTATGAAAATCACCTTTTTTCAAAATCAAGCCAGTGTAGCACTGAACCCGTTACTATCGCTGTTTCTCCAATTTCTTGCGCGTGGTGGCAGAAAACGTGGTAACAGACAGACAGACACACAAACAGAGAGACAGACAGCTTTGCTCCTTTAGCATTGGGAGAGAGATAAGTTCCAGTATACGATGAAAAAGATGAAGAGGCAGAAAACGTGGTAACAGACAGACGGACACACAAACAGAGAGACAGACAGACAGACACACTTACGAACCAAGTACTGTAACCCTCGCTGCGCATGCGCGCCGAGGGTTAACTATCGTGCAAAAGAGTAAGTACACGCCCGTGTGCGCACGAGTGAATGTTAATACTGTTTTTCAAGTTCCTTGGTCCTCGCACGCTTACGGGTGACCAATATACTACAACATTTTCTCTGCATAAAAAGTCCAGTAGTGGGTCACATACAAAGCTCCATAGCAAAAAGTAACTGTCCTCAAAAATAAAAACAACATACAGACCATAAAAATATTCAAAACTAGTTACTTAACCTTGAGAGCAGCAAGTCTGACTTTTGAGCGCTGGTGAGCCATGGAATGGAGGAGCGGCTTCACCAGGGAGTTGGACTGCTGGTAGAACACTTGGGGAATGGCATTGGCTACCAGTAACACACACTGACAACTCTCCTGAGAAAACATAGTAAAATGGATGATGACTGACACATAACACAGTAATTACAGAAGAAAATAAATATTCTGCCAAAATGCATTTTTATTAGGCTAAGATCGCATTAAGGCAAAAACCCTCGGTACAAATTACAAATTTCTCATTTTAGACATCTCCGATATATGCTGATATCTTTTAAAAATAAACAATCATGTTCAACATTGATTAGACTTATAGAATTGTCAAGCTTATAACAAGCTTGAAGAACAAGATTGTATTTTGAGGATGTAGCCAGTTCCTTGCTTGCACTCATATTCACAAGCATGTTAATATAACGTAGCCACCAATGACTGTAGTTCCGTTTCAATCTTGTTTAACATTTTGCAAAATGGCTGCTGTATATTAATAATTATTCATAATAGTGAATATTGAGATGATACATAAAAGAGTGAAGAGAGTTTGAGATGATACATAAATCGTAAATAGAGTTTGATAAATACATAAAACATACATACATGAATGTGTGATAATGATCTAGCTACTTCTGACTACCTAATACGCCAGGCAAATGATAGCCCACTACAACAGGCTGAACTTCTTTCGTTCTGCATGAAGCTTGTCATTGGCCTGATTTATCAGGTACTCTGAAGTAGCCGCCGGATATTTATTTATTGCAAACCCTGCAAAAAGAGAGATTAAGTATTATCCATGTACATACTACATGTATAATAATGTTATTAACCTATGATGGCCTCCATCTTCTGTTTGTCTAAAGCCTTCTTCGTTTTCTCCCTCACTGACGAGGTTGCCATCTCCTCTGTTGAGAAGAGATGGGACATTAGCTTCCTCATTAGTGAGGAGGCTGTTTTCGAATCCGTCACAGCTCCCAGTACCTCATGTGCGGGAAGAAACACACCCAACCCCTCCACCAGCTCAATGTATCGAGATGGTCGTATCAGGGGTCCCTATTAAGTTGGTTATCTCAAAACTTGATTTGATTATTAATCAGAGGATACCTGAGACTGGGCAGAATGGGCAGAAGAGGGGGAGCGGGACTGGCCAGAAGAGGAGTGAGACTGGGCAATGGCAGAAAAGTGGGAGTTGGAGCGGGTGGAACAGGAGTGGGAGTGGGAGTGGGCAGAAGAGGAGTGCCCGGTGGAGTGCAGGGTCTGCAGGGTGGATGTAGAGGGGGAGTGGGTAGAAGAGGAGTATGACCTAGGACGAGGGAATGGAGGCTGATGAGAAGGGTTTCTGAGAGGACTTCTCAGAGGACTTCAATCACGGCGTGGAAAGTGAGGGTGTCTGTAACGGTCTTGTTGACTGTGGTGGCGGGACTGGCTGTGATGGTATGAGGGAGGAGGAGGGATGGGTTGGTGGATAGGGGGGGGAGTGCTGGGTGGTTTTGGTGCATGCGATAAGGAGATTGGGGTCGACGAGGTGGGGCATGAGGTAGAGGAGGAAGAGAAGAAGGTGTGGGAGAAAGAACCTATTCATCTGAAGACTGAAATTAGGGCATAAAATGTTTTCAGCATACAGAATATATTGACCTACCACAAACTTCCATTGCTGAACTCGAGCCTTCTTTGTTTTCTTTTCTTTAGCGCTCTTTGAAACCTTTGTCTTGGTTGTCTTACTCTACGGGAGTTGCAGGAGATAGGAACAACTGAGAGGGACTTGTCCTCGTCCCAGTCGATGGGTTCATAAAAAACCATCTCTGTGCTTCCCAGTTTGCTCCGACGGCAAAAAGAAGCTGCAGTTTCTACAGAAACTTTGCGCACACGCAATGTTTCCCGCACAATGGTTCCCACGTAATCGTGGCACGCGCAATACTCAAGAGTATTTACCGCTGCTAGCCTGCGCTGTACATGTGGTATGGAGTCTGCAAAACTTTCAGCTGTTGTGAATCTGCAAGGAAGTCAGTTGACTGTTAAAACCATGGATCAAGAAAATGTCGAGGTAGAGACAAAATGAAGTACTGAGTCTTAGTATGAAACATTTTTATTGTTGATGGTATGGATGTGATTGAGGATGTTGATAGTATGGCTGTGATCGAGAATGTTCAAGGTATGGAAGTGATTGAGAATGTTGATTGCTTGGATGTGATCCAAAAAGTCGATGGTATGATATTTTTGATTTTTTTGTATTTGATGATTTTTCTCCGAGCCCTCCACTTCAATCTTCCCCATCTCCTCCTTCCTCACCTTCTTCTATTTCAGCCTCCCTCCCTCCTTCTCCTACTCCCTCGTCCCCTTCTACCTCTCTTGAAAGCCAGAGTACAGTACAGAGTGAGCAGCCAAGCGATGATGCTTCACTTTATCAAAAATATAACTTGTAACCGCCCTTCTCCAAATAATGTTGTTTGCTTTAAAGCACAACTTAACTGATGCAGCCCTTCAAGATCTACCCCATTGATGGAATATTGGAACTTAAATTTACAATTTTGAAGTTAAAATCATCCCGTTTATCATATACTGCCGTGGAATATTTCCCATTCGTTATAGTTATATGTATATCTAAGTATGACAGTGTTGTTGGTGATTTTTTGAGTTTAAGCTCCTCTTGGTTTATGTCATCAATGGCTGAATCAAACATGTAACATCTCTGTATACCTTCAAGAAGATATTTAAGTTCACACAACTGAACTCTTCTCTTATCAATTACTGTAAAAACTGAAAGCTTCCTTGAGACAGTCTTAATTTGGAATGCCAATTGTGGAGAACAGATCGTAACTCTAAATGTTACTCCATCAATCTGTGCATCAAGGAACAATAAAAAGCAGGCCTGGTTTCTTTCACCCGATTAAGAATCGGTTTAGCCGTAAAGTGGCACTAGGCGTAATCGCTGATGTTTATGATGGAGATTGTACAGTGCCCTTTTTAGATCTGGAGAGTTTCTCAGCTCAATATATATGTAATATATCCCTTCAATGGAACACTGATGGAGTGCCTCTCTTCGGGTCATCATCTTATTTAATGTGGCCTAAATAAATGAACTACCCCAGAGGATGTGAAATGGGCTGAATAATAAAATACTTGCTGGAGTATGGTTTGGGATCACAAAACCATTTTAAAAAATACATTTTTTAAAAACCGCCATGTCGGGTAATGAGAGAAATGTTTGCAGAAGGTGTGCCGGTTCATCCACCTGAACTTCGATCACCGTTCATATATAGGGCAATCGTTCTAACTGGAACATGTGACCTGCCCACAAAATCAATGGCTAAACATGGTTGGTCAAAATGGCTTTTATGCATGCCCTTATTGTGAGCAATCTGGCAAAACCATATTGTTAGGGAGTGGTGGTCATGTGCACGTATATCCGCCGTATATGTGAAAATCCTGTGTGTTGCTAAATATTGTACGCCTACTTATCAATCTTTGGTTCGACAGCAGCCATCACCTTCAACTGTGGTCTTGCTCCAAAAAATAGGTGATGCAGATAGAAAATTGTTATCTAGTAAACCACTGTCAACAATTACGGGTACGCCATGAAGATTAACTGAACGGAAATACGGGAACGCATCTGAATATTGTGCCTTTCTATTTTATTTTTCTCTGCCCATTATGATGGGTTTATTACCTACTGAACATTTTGAGCACTTTATCCCTCTTTGTCACGGAATATATATATTAAACTCTACTACTATACTACTTCTGGTTTGAATAAAGCCAATAGACTACTTCATCGGTTCTACCATCAGTTTGCTTCACTCTATAGCGAACGATACTTGACACTGAACCTGCTTTAACTTGTACACCTTACGAACAGTGTTCGAAATTAGGGTCCTCTTCGTACATTTTCTTGTCATGACCATGAGGACACAAATGGCCTCTAGGTTAAAACAGTTCATTCAACTCATCGAGTAGACTTATAAATACACATTTACTTCACTTCTAAGTATACTTCACTTCTAAGTATATGCACCCTGGCGCAACAAAAGAGTGTTAAGGTGGAATATCTTATACATTCTCTTCCATTGAACAATGGAACAGTAATTATTAAGTACAGTTGGGGAGACCAATTGACCCTTTAGTGGCTCAACTCTTTGAACATTACACATCAGCACGTATTAACAGCATTCTTAAACATAAAAGTTTAAAAACTTATACCACTCCGCTCATTATGAAAGGCCCAAAAAAATCAACAATGCTGTCATTTCGTATAATATGAGTTCGTCAGAGGATAATTTTGATTTTATATCATATTATTTCACATGATGTGTGATACTATGCCATAGTTGAACAGTTGGTCAATGTATGTCCCATTAGTTCTGTACATCATGTATTTGTTTGTAATAAAGTTGTGGGCCCTATCGTTATTGTACTTATGTCATTCAGTGGTACAGATGATGTGTATGTCGTCAAATTTCATAATTGTATTGAGTCAGATTAAATAAAAACTCAACAAATGAAAAGCACTAAAGTGCAAACCATCGGCGCTAAACGCGCGAGTTGTAGCATCGCTGTATGCTGGGTCATCATGCGTCATCGACGGAGCTTGTAACACGAGTCTCGCTGTAACACAGGGTAGTTGCATTAGCGGTTAGACGAATTGCTCAGGTGTTTCAGAGGCTCTCATATTTGCTTTATTCTATCCATACTTCTGTGTTTCAATACTCTCGCCAGACGTTTTATAGATGGGAAGGTATGGCCACAACCACAAACTGCTCGCCACCTGAACTACTATGCTACATTGCGAACATGCCTTGCTCAGCATGTTCATCCACTCAAAACAAAGAGAATAGAGATCAAAATTGACAGAAGCCCGTGGATCGTATATATAATTATACAACCAATGTGGCGTAGCGCATGCTCCGGCGAAACATTGACATGACGCGTGCGCGCTATATAGCCTGCCAGAGAGGGCGTGCGCGATCGACCTCGCATTGGCTTTTTCGCTTGTTTTCACGCCGTATCTCTGGAACGCAGTCGTTTCAGGAAAATCGCCATGTTAATATCCATCTTCTCGTTGTTCACAATCCGTTGGTGCCACTCATTGGCCGCCTCGTAGCCTGTAGTGCAAGAACTCGCGCGGACAGACAGACAGACAGACAGACAGACCGACAAACAGACAGACAAACAGACCGACAGACCAAGTACAGTAACCCTCGCTGTGCATACGCGACGAGGGTTAATAACCACAGTAATCACATGGGTTGAACAGGAGCAAGAGGATTTAAGCGCTGTACTTATACAGTAGGGGTCAAAAAACCATTTCCAATTTCGTTCCGTTCCATTCCATTGAGCTTCCGTTCCATTCTGAAACGTCGTTCATTTACCGTTGGAATTCGTTCCGTTCCGTTTAGAATCGTTGCCGTACATGCATTCGCGCGAGAGCCGTCATTCGCAAGATGCGAAGGCCTCACTGTGAAGATATTTCTTCTAGCACCTACGTGGGTACTGCATTCTCGTTGTTTTGCATTTGCGCTAAGAACAAACCTTGTTTCACTCCCACTAACGGGACTCCGGAGGGCGTGTCACGCGGAATTCACAATTGAACGGAAACTGAACGGAAACTGAACGGAAACGGAACAGAACGACAGTGAACAGCAAAAGGAAAGAAACGGAACGAAACTGGAAACTTTTTTTACTCCTACTGTATGGACAGGTGTTATGTGCCCAATCCCTTACACAATGCCTTCCTCAAACCATAAGTACTGGAAGAGGCTCTTAGCAACCAATTCTACCATTTGCTTGAGAGAAGTATATTATACTTATATGGCTGACATCAACAACATGTTTCCACAAGCTTGTTTTTTACAACCTTGTTACAAGCTTGTTCAGCGTGGAAACAAGCATGTTCAATCTTGTTTCAAGCATCATACAATGAAGTGCAGCAAGCTTGTTGTTGCAACAAGCTTGAACAATGTTGATTTGGGAAGGCCAGGCTTGATCAGGCTTCAGGGGTGCCGATTTGGCGCTATGGCGCCCAAAATGGCGTCATCAGAAAAATCACGGCGTCGATGGGTGAATTTCAGGCGTCAGCGCTTGTCGCTTTTCCCAGTTCTTGGCCTGCTGAGGTTCCTGATCTAGCAACGCCGTATCGACGCGCTACTGCCACCGCCCACAAAAAAGTGCGCAGGCATGCGCAAAATGTATGACTATAGTTGTGTACTTTCATCGCAGTGCTTATAATTGTATGCGGCGCCAAGCTAGTATCTGACACCAATACATTGTCACCGTCGTCTTTAAGTTTCAGCACCCCTGAGGCTTGTAATATAACTGACTGCTGTATTGAACAAGCTTGCTCCAAGCCTGTTTATATTTTAAAGGGCAGGGCGCAACAATGCCGCAGCTCTCGGGTTTCTACTGCCCGTAGTTACCTCGAATCAGCGTCTAACTATTATAATTAACCCTCGATGTGCATGTGGAGTGAGGGTTACGGTAGTTGTCGTGTGTGTCTGTCTGTCCGCGAGCTACGTATCTCACTTCATGAGCAATCAATCGCTCCACAAATGATATCACATATTCAGCGTCAGATAAAGGTCGAAAATATGTGGGGTTTTCTATGAAACTGCTGCATTCGGGAGTTACGGCGTGAAACACTAGCGAAAAAGGCAATATGCTAATTAGAACAGGCTTACCTCGAGCGAATCCGCATGCTCTGTGTATCTTGAAGGTACAAGAAGTCACAGTGAAGGCTGTGTGTGTATCGACTCCCGCATGCTATCTACTGCTGTAGCTAGCCCGTGTCAGACTCCCCGTGAGCTATACTACGTGAAGACCACGAGTAAACACGTGCTAATAGCCAAGCCCATCAATTAGCGGTACCGCACATAAGCAGTTCGCCGAGGGTGTGCACTTTAGTGCTTTTTCATTCATGTTTCGATGAAACAGTAGTAGAGTAAATGCTAGTAATATGGGACGGTTGGTATTATGAGACAACAGTGAATTTCCTCCTAATACTTATGCTGCAGAAAGTATAACCATAGGCTCACTTACAAGTCATAAGAGTAGAGCCACACCTCCAGCTAGCGCTTTTCAATACCGGTTCAAAGGTCGCTCTAATTTAAGCTCATCACAGAGCACCGCATGAACTTTTGAGTTAAGTCAGTGCAAGCTCTGTCTGAAAGGTATGTTTGATAATGTTTCTAGCATGTTTTAGCTCGGATGGTATGGAACTGTTGTGTAGCAAAATACTCATAACAGGTTTCATTTACATGGCTATAATGGGATCAAGAAAGCAATGGCTTCCAGAGAACGTGGGAAAAGCTTGCAAGTCCGTCAAGAGTGAGAGTATGACCCTGCGCGAAGCTGAGAGAACATATGATGTCCCTGTTAGGACTTTGAGAAGACGTGTTGCTGGCATTGTGAGCCTCGATTGTAGACCTGGTCCTCCAACAGTTCTAACAAGTGAGGAGGAAGCTCGTTTGGCTAAATACTGTGTTGCTATGGCTGACATGGGCTTTGGTTTTACACGAGAAAGGGTAATGGCCATGGCATTTGCTATTGTGGAGAACACTGGATAAAACCACCCGTTTAAGAGTGGTCATGCTTGAAGAGGCTGGTATGAAAGTTTTATGGCTCGCCAAGCTATACTTACTGAAAAGCACTAAAGTGCAAAACCCTCGGCAGCGTGGTACCACGCATGTGGGTCTGGCTATGTGTAAGTGCAAGTCTAGCAATATTATTTGTCACAATCGCAGTGTGTGACTTTAGGCCAATGAACATGTTAAGAAGACCCAGACTGGCTTAATAAAGCAGGCCAGAAATGAGAATAAACAGTGAACATGTC